ATTGTTAATTTTATATTCTATATTTCTTAATATTGTCAAGTTATCAGTCATATTTACTATAATGGCCTTTATAATAAAAGAAAAATATAGCGATCTTTTTCTTCATTGTAAACCATTTTAAAATACAATATCTTAAATCCTTAATATTAATTTATAAATAATAGTAGATAATAAATTAATATATTAACATTTTGGTCAGGACAGATTGCTGTAGAATGGTGTGAATAATACGTGACAAAATARAGATTCTCTAAAAAATTAATCTTGGAATTGCCCATTGAATATAGTTATCTATTATTTTAGTAACAGTTGTTTCAAATTTCAGTTATCTACATAATTTGAATAAATTGAAATGTCTGTGTATACAATATCTTAAATATTTAATGCTCACAAAAATGATTGTGCTAGGCTACACTTTCCTGATTTCTAATTAATATAGTTGTAAATCACTTCAAAATAAATAATAACTATATATAATATATTTTAGATATTTTTTATTACTTCCGAGGGAGTTAGTTTTAATTTTTCAGTTTTTGAACTACAAACAATCGGGAAAATCATATTGGAAATTTATAACATATCTAAATAACAGTAACAAAACGAAATGAGAGCCAAAAAAAATTTCATTAGTCAAATTACATTTTTATGAACATATGAAGTTCAAATCTTCATAACATTAGATATTCACTAGGATGGAGAATTACAATAGCTGTAGATACTTTTATASGAATTTCTATCCTATGTTTGTTTTCCATACTTAGTATAATTTTCAAAATATTTTGACTTTTTCATTTTTTTTTTTTTTTAATGTCAATAAAATGTTATTTGTTAGGTCAAAAAGCTTAACAATATGAAACCATTGTTAACTTCTCCCGAGGAAATAACGTCAATAATCTAGCCGCCGGAGTGCCGGACCAAGAATCAAACTCGGGTCTCTCGCTTGCCGGGCGATTGCTCTACCACTAAGCTACCCGACCGCATAGACCCATGACACTATATCCCCAAGTTAATGGATGTTTACACCATGTTCTTGATGTATTACAGTTGATATAGTAGTAGAAAAGTATTGAAATTAAAGGCTTAAYTTTGATTATAAGCATTTAATTGAAAATGTATTAATTGTTTGGTAGTCAAATTTTATAGCAAAAAATATGAAATATAAAATAAGGTCCATGGAAATAGTTAAAAATGTAACCAAAAAATCTAAAAMATATGTAAAAATTATGTTTAATATAATATTCTAATTTTAAATTTTGACCAAATTATACATTAAATTACCAATAATAATTTAAATATTACGTTTTTAATATGAAAAATGTAAATTMATGACAAATATTATGTTAAGTTCAATATGACATATTTTATTACAAGTCATTTGAAATTAACTTGTTCTTCAATTGCCTAAGTTAATTTTAGTAGTTTAAATTAATACAAACACCTTTCGATCATTGACAGAAACCTTTATGGCTTTAGCAATCAAAATATATACCTTTTTTTTTAAATCATGTATTTTATAAAAATGTGTTACATAGTAGTTTCGTATTAATAGTGATTTTAGTATCTTCCTCTAGAATAAGACCTTGAACGAGATTTTCTACTTCTGTAAACTGGTGAGCGACTTCTTGATTGTGATCTTGAATATGAACGATAAGTACGACGCGAAGGAGGAGATCGTCCCCTAAAATGGATTAAATATTGTTAAAAAATATGTAATTCATAAAGTTAAATCTTCAACTACAATAAACACTATACCAAAATGTTAAATTCCTGAACAAATAATATTATATTATTTGGTAAACATACCATCTAAATTTACTAAGTATAACTAAACACTAGTTTAATATATAGATCAGACCAACAATAGATTTAATATTAACTGCTCTTATATGTATTTATATTCAAGTATATATAAYCAATAAAACATGGTCTTTGAAAAAAACTCCTAATAAAGTAAATTGTTTATTTTATCTAGAAACAGTCATTCAATAAATACTTGAACCACATAAATAATGTTTTATTATTTTGATAAATGTATTACCAAAGCTACAGTTTAATTTGCATATTATAAGTTGTTAAACATACCGAAAAATTATAAAAATATCAAGTATAACATGGTCATTTTTTTTGTTTAGAAAATATAATGTTCCGTCTGGTAAATCTATGTATTTGTTTTATTATTTGAAAATATTGATTATTTAATATATGTTACTAGGTAAAAAATTATGTTAATATATTTTGAGACAAGAGTTTCATACATAAAACTCATTTTATAAATATCCTAATAGTAACTATTTATATATATTTTTTAAATACCTAAAATATAACCAGAATAATGATGAACGATGAATGATACAAAAACAATGTAATCAAAGCATGCAGTAAAAGCGAGGAAGATGAATTTCAAATGTTAAATTGTTGCTTTGTACTGCAATGAAAATTGAGGGATTTGACAATTAAAACCAAATGATGAACGTTTCATGAAAATAGAATGCCTAGTGGGGATTCAAGAATCTTGCACCCCCTGGTGTTTGTTGCTGGCTCAAGTTGGTAGTACTGTGTTGAAAGGTGATGGTAGTAGTGGATGTGGTAGTGGTGATGATGAAGAATTCAATAAAGTTGAATCTATAATAAATAACCTGCCAAAAGTATTTATTCTCATTAATTTTAAATTATAATACATAGTATTTTAACACAAGAATTCCCCTACAAAGATATTTATTTTATACTTATTTTGTATGCAAACAATAATTAACTATAAATATGCAAATATAAAACTTAAAAATTTAAGTTTAAAAATAAAGTTGAGAGAGGATAAAGAATATTACCTATGTACAGGTGATTTATCTCTGGAACGTTTTCCAGTTGACATTTGAACAATAATTCTGGATCCACAACATCTTCTGAAATTGTGACAAATACATAACAATTATTTATTAAATATATACATGGAAGCTACATTTTAATTAATTATTTATTCTTCAAGATGATGAGWCCCAATGAATATGATTGTGTGTAAGCTAAGTTCATACTTTATAAAAAAAAATATAATATAAAGCAAGATCAAAATCAATTTTTTTTAAATTAATTAATTTATATATGTTTTAAGTCTTAGTTAGAACATAACAAATATCAATTAAAATACATAATATAGTAAAGCACGAGATACATAAGATATACTGCTATAAAATTTTAACATTGCAAAATAAACAAAAATTATACACTAATATCATTGGCGCATACTAGTTGGGTCCCAGAAAAAAACATTTTCCTTCCCATTTTTACAGACTTAGGACTGTCTGTATATTAACATCTAGTTATTACAGGTATGGTTAAAAATGTTTCATTTCTAGGGTTTCCAAACGGGATAGTAGTCCCTCGGACCGGTTGGTATTTCTCACCCATAAACTTAAAAAGCGAGTTGCCGGTATTAATCTATAAAAAGCCAATACATTTATCTGATCGAGAGTTTTGATATAATTATTTAGTCGTTTTTGTAAAATTGGTTATCAGATATTGCTGTCAATAAAT